ACAAGTGTCAGACGATTTCTTGCCATCAAAAAATTAAAAGCATAAATCAAAGGTTATGGAAGCAAAACAGAGAGACTGGGTTTGAAAGTCATTGTTTTAACTGGATGACAAAATCATTAGAATGTAATTTATGACCCTGGGGCAAAGCCTTTTCTATGATCTAGCGTTGGCATATCAATGTAATATCCCTGTCATCGCTTTTGCCTCATTCATTCAATGGGCACTGGCAGGAAATACTTTCATTTCAATGGCACACTTACCCTGAGTGGAGCGAGCTGCTCAGGAGATGACCAAGGCCCTCTCCCCTCTGGCAAAGCTGGTAAATTGGTGTGCTCAAAGTCCACAGCATGACACAAATACAACTTCTCCATTCTGTGAGGCAGGAAGCAGATCGACGTGCAGGCTATAATTATAACTCTGGTATCTGATTTCCGCACAGCAAAATTGTCTGCGTTAATTACATTCTGTAACTGTAAAAATAAACTAATCTCAACTCAGTGAAGTTTTTGTGAGTCTGAAGTCTATTTAACTAAGAGAATTAAGTTATATCAGCTTCATCAATATAAAAAACTCTTAGATTAGATTAACGATTCAAAAATATGCGATTGGAAATAATCTACACTTACTGACAATGGAAAATGTGCCATGTGAATCTTATTGCAACCGTTTGACCCTTGTTAAAATATAGTGTTTTCTTGTAACCAGTTTCTTTGTAAGCAGCAAACATGCCACCGACTTCTCATTGCCCTGTACAATTAGCTGTCCCTTCAAATGAGGGTACCTTCATTTCTGCATGTGTAAATAATTACTGTAACACATTAGACATGGTGTGAAACACTGTGTGACAACCTGTTGTTTTCATAGCTCTTCATAGCATTTGACTGCCACACTGATAACAATCCATCCTGCTGTAGTTCACATTTTACAGGGACCTTTTTTTTTACATTAGACAAACAAGCTCAATACGTAAAATATACAGACACACATGTATGTGATCCCTAGTCACAGTTTTCACCTTCACACGATTGCCTCTTTCAAACTCTGTCTCATTTTCTTTCAAGTTGATATTCTGTAGTGGCGTCACATCTTCCCGTAATTCTCATCTGGATTGGCTGCAGCCTCTTATCTCTCAGCCCTGAAGGTCAACATATGAGAGGCATCAGGAAAAGAAAATGACCTGCGTGAAACACAAAGCATTAATCTCCACCGGAGCGGATGGCAACCTACCTTGGATTTGTAGAAAGACAGGTGGAGAAAAGCTGGGGTTGATAATTGGTTAAAAAACACTCATACAAATAAAACATCTTCAAAACCTATACAATACATGTACTGTAGACAATTTCAATAAACATCTTTGCAACAAAAGTGTTTCATCTGATCGTTTACAGGATGTTGCTTTCTAGTTTTTACAGCCTGAAGGGTTGAGGCAGTTAATTTGCCTGATTTATTTTGTTGAAATCCTGCAACTGCTTCATGTATTCTGCACGTTGGAGATCTGTGTCTTGTTTGTTTCCTCTGAGGAACCGACTCTGCAAGTACAATGAATATAACTCAGACATTTTATTTTGATGGGTATTGATCAAACACAGCTGAGTGGAAAGATACATTCTGCATGCTTTGACAGAGACAAGGTGTTTCAAATAAATATGTTTTGTCGTGATAAATCTGCTGTAAAACAATGTGCTTAAAAAATACCTTTTTGTTTCTCCAGCCAGCATTTTCTATTTTATTTTGACTTCCCTCTATAATTATTGCTATTTTTCTTTCTGAACTTGTTCTTGAAACATGTCAAAAGCTGTCATAAATCACGAATCCTGACCTTCAATGCAGTTCCAACTTTCCAACCCAGTAACACTGTGACATTCCACAGTGTGACTGAGACTCTGAAAATGTATGCAGCTTATCAGTTATTTCTGGCACAAGCAGCCACCCCCCAACTCCCTCTCAATAAATATGGGGTTGACTAAGTTGATATGCCTCGGAGGCATTTTAAATATTCCCCCAAAAAATATCTATTCATAAAGCGGGGCAACATAATTGGGTGATTTATGACCTTTTCACACCACTGGAGCGATTAACTGAAGACATCATTCAGAGCTGTCAATCAAACTGATTGTTCACATGGAAACGAAACACCGTGCAGCCAATAAGGGAGCCGGCTGACTTGAGAATGATGCCTTCAAAAGCCTTTCACTAAAGTGGCCTCTTCAAGACTGTCAGTTGCGTTGTTATTGAGTAAAGATAAAACGTCTTCTATCGGAAAGCTACACCGGCAGATAGAGACATAGAATCAAAGGCACAGGTAAATTGGTTTACATTCATGTTGCCATCTCAAGGGGGACATGGTTTCACTTGAACGCCATCTCATCCCGGTGCCCTCCTCACACTTACTGCTGGTCACAGACCTTGACTATGATAGCTTAATAGTACATCTGGGACACATCTTCACATGAAGTTATCATTACCTCAGATTTAATGATGAGCTGCAGTGATTTGTCTTTATTGGTCTTCATAGACACACACACACACCTGCATCTCCAGAGCCTTCCTTTGGTAATAACACCAGGAAGAACAACTTGACACTAATTGGCTCATCGTGTCAAGTGTGTTCATGAATAGAGCTTTTCTTTTTCCAATGCTTTAAAAAGTACCAGCTTTGGAATAGGATGAGATTGGAGAGGACTGCATCCATAGGTGAGATTGCATGACTTTTGCTTCAACACATTTCACTCCAGCCTACTAAGTCTTCACTGTAACCCACGGCGTTGCTGAAAAAGCCTTTCATATCATATCTATGCTCCAGGAATCCAAGCTTTCTGCATATTTATCAAACTCTCTTTCAAATCCTTCTATTGATATGTACCTTCCATATGGAGAGTAGTGTTTGTATTCTCTTCAGTCAAATTTCACCGATCCTCATAACATCGCTCCAATTGGCTTATAAGGAGGCCTTCCCCCACCCATTTGGTCCTCAGGGCTTGCTGGCACTCAGTCTAATTACCAGAGATAATGGAGGGTGAAGCTAAATGGCGCTGATAGGGTCCAGCAGAAGGTTATTAGGTGTCCTCATTAGTGCCCAACTGAAGTGAAAGGAGGTTTAAGGTCTTATTCTGATCCTGATGGATGGTTTTCCTCCCGGTCTGTCTTTAGAGGGTGTGATTCCAGCATAGCCGGCTATGCAGAGGCACTCATAGGGAGATACATTAAGAGGGGTGAGAGAGAGAGAGTGTGTGTGTGTGTCTGTGCATTCAATTTGGCACATGATGAGACATGATTCTACCTGAGTGAGAGGTGTAGGTTCATTTGCTGTATTACGGTAGGAATGTTTAATGCCGTATACCAACATAACCATGATCATTGTTAGCCTTGTAATTAGAAGCACTGTCAGATTTGTCAGTGCCAACACTGATTGCAGTGCATGTCAGTTGTACTTTCATCCCACTGTAAATTGGTTCGTAAAAAAGAGCAGCACAATGATTAAAGCAATGTATTTCTGTTTTATTGTATTACTCATAGTTCAGACACGTGTATATACAAATACAGATCATTTTTTGTCAAATTTTTTTGTTGTTGTTTATATACTGTAAAAGAGCAGGTTGGAAATATTCCCCACAGATGGCAAAGTGGGAGCAGGGTTTCAAAGGTGAGGGAAGAAGAACAGCAGGTGGTGTGGCGGAGGTTACACAAGCACAAGAGGAATGGGACAGGACAGGCGCACCAAAAAAATGAACAAGTGGCTTATGGGCAAGAGGGGAGCTGACGAAAAGAGAGGCTTTGCCCTGTACGCACAGAACCTGGATCGATGATAGGCTTTACCCCGCTAACAATCCGGTTTAGGATTTGGTGGAGGGGGTGCACTAATCCTTGAACTGTGCCCAGGACCAACGTCTACGGTGGGGACAAGTGATTCAGGGTTGTTAAAAAGGGAGAGAAAGTGAAGGGCCCCGTTGTAGTCTCTTCGACGCCAGCAGCCGTTCAGTGTAAAAGCACAATGGCAGAAAGCGTCTTGTACACAGACGGGGCTGCCAGGGCAGAGGCTGAAGGGCTAAGGCATGGGAAACACTCTCCGTTGCCAAAGAGGGTTGCCGCTTCCCATTCACTGCGGCAACAGCAAATGAGACACGCACACACACACACACACAAACTCAAAGGTCTCAAACATTTTTTTTTTCACACTGAAAAACGTCCACACACTGATGTGTACACTCCCAAAACGCCTCCTCTTGGGACAGCAGAAATACGATGAATAGTCAGAGGAGACAGACTGCAACTACATGGGATGAATTCAGTAGATGGGGACAGAAAGAGTCATTCTTCGGAGAAAAAAAAAAAAAAGTTGCTTTTGAACTACAAAACGACCGACCCCCACTGTAACTTCACCACAATGGTTTGTGTTATGTACATTTGTCGTCTGTCACTACACAGCTTTAATGACACCACTCAAATGGGGATGCAAAAACACACGACATGAAAGTGATTCAAAAATCTAACACGACTTAAAGGAAAAGAAAATAAGAGCAAAAGAAAACTTTCTATTTAAAACTTTTTCGATTTTTTTTTTCTTCTTTTTTTATACATGTCATCAAGTTCATGCGCATGCCACCTAATGAAACTGGCGAGATCCTTCCATCAAAAAGCAAACAGTCCACACTCATGGCAGATCTTTGAGCTGACCAGCATGCTTTCAAACGCTGAAGGCAAAAAAGTACAAATAAGCCGTCCATTAAGTCCAAAGTGTTTCTTTCCAAGGCAGGATCCTTATGAAGAGATGTGAAGTTGGTGACTGGTTTGAAACATGTAACAGGTGAGCCACTCCTTTGGCTAATGTTTAGCCTTCTGTACGCTTGTGTACAGCTCCCACAGGTTCCCCCTTCGTATTAGCTCAGAGTTTCCTTAGGCATTGAGGATCAAAGCACACAATGCGTTGTTTGAGGACAGTACACACTCCGGAAAACCCAGAGATAATACCGTATTCATTTTTTTTAGAAAAGACATACGAACCAAATTAATACTTTAATATCAAACACTATTTACATCAAGAAGTTTTCCTAATAATAATAGTCATAATCATCATCATCATAACAATAATAATAATTATACAGTTTTAACAATGATCTCGTTTTTTTTTTTTTCTTTTGTCCTCCAGAAAGGTACAAAACAGATACTAACCTAAGACTACTTGTTCTATGGTTGACTACCTCAGGATACACAGTATCCAGTTTTTAAGTTGATCCTCATTTCCCAGGTCAAAGTGTGTACAGAATAAACCATGGTAATAATAGCAATAATGACGAATAGTAGTATTGGTATAAGAGAGTACAATTGAAGCTGGTATCTGATAAAAAGTCTCGTGTTAAATCTGCTGACAAGCGTCAATTTTGAATCTTATGCGGTGCTCGTTCCCCGTGGTGTTCTCCAGAAAATTAGTACCTCATTAAATGGCCTCGGCTCCTATTACCCCCCATAGTTGAGCTGCTATTCTGCTGTAATAGCATTGTTACCGTAGCGCAAAAAAAACGAATGGCAAAAGGCAAAGGCAGTCTTTCTGGGAAGAAAAAAAAAAAGAAAACGGCAGCCACGAAAATGAAAAGAAAGAAAAAACAACAGTGACAGAATGATACTGAACAATAAGTGTGTCATTGAATCGGGTGGTTTCTTTCAGTAGTGTTGCGTGGATCTTTAGTTGTTTTGTTAGGCACTCTAGTCACACTATCTTCGGCTACCTCCCATGTCTTTCCATCTCTTTGTGCGTCCCTCACTTTAATTTTATCCATCTCCTTCACTAACCAATCCTCTCAAACTGCAAGGTCATTGGTGTTTTAAACCCCCCCCCCCCATGAAGGAAATCTACACCCCCCTCCCGAGACCCCCCAAGCCTTCCGCCATCTATTTTTAATACCAGGAATAACTCCCCTTGCCACAACATGGGGTCCACATGCCTGTCATTTTGAACCTCATTAAAGAGTCACTTAAACCGGTAACACTAGGAGCTGATGGTGGACATGCGATTGCTCTCGTGCTCCTTTTCTTGCTCTATTTCTCTCTTTCTATCCGTCATTCCGAACCACCTGGTGCACATTTCTCATGCAAAAAACCTGTCTCCAAAATGAGGGAGTTCTTTTCTCTATCCATCCATATTTCTTTGAAGACAAGCAGAAACAAGACCCTTTCGTTTGAAAAGAGACATAATCGCCTTCATTATGCTAACTCACCATGTGCATCTGTGGGGTCTGAAGGATGCTGAACATCATTAAAAAACAGTGAATTCCTTTTTCATGTAAGTGCTAACATAAACCTGGCCAGACTAAATAGAGCCGTGCATTGCCTTGAATTAAACGGATAGTTGCTCCATTCACACTGTGTGTTTTCAACTAATTGAAGCTGTGCATCGTTCCTGTAAACGCTGCAATAACTACTGCAATAAACCGAATGTGATAACCAGCTAACTAATGTTCGATGTGTCAAAGCTGTGGTTTGAGGGACAAAGACGTGACAAAAAGTATGGTTCTGTGAATTAAGGTGTCAAACACTTTCCCATGACATCTGTTATTGTTCTAATTCAAGTGGATTTCGGACATTATTTTGGAGACACAATTGGCAACAAAGTAAAACAACTTCAAAGTCTCCAATTTATCTGCGAATCATTTTTTTTTTAAACAATCACTTAAACAATCAATATCACTGAAAAGAAAGCTGTGAATGCAAATGTTTGTGGGAGTTTTAATATCGACTAATAGTCCAATGGAACGGAGCGACAATTGCGGCCCTGCTCAGTAAACATTGCACAAAATGACTGTGACTGTTGCCGTGAAATTGTGTGATCAACTTTCAAAAGATATTGATCCTCGATCGTAATATCAGTCTGCAAAGAGTCTGGTGAGAAAGTTTCAATTTAGCTGTTTTGTGAGTCATGGTGAAGCAAATGTGTCTGAGAGGTGTTTTATTGAGCTGACTGGCGTGCTCTTTACACAGGAGGGCAAGAATAAGATGCCATGTGGTTCCACAGGTTTTACACTCACTCGCTCAAGCTATCAGCAGCTTATTCACCTAAACACACACTTTGTATTCAAGAGAAAATTGGGAGCTATCTTTAAAGCAGGACAGTCTGAAGATCAGCGGGCTAAGGTGCATGCCATGCACATATTTCTCAGTGCTGTGGTTTGCAGTCTGACCTGCTTAAAACCATTATTTGCTTTTCTTACATCTTCATCTTTGCACTACAGTTCCCCGTGAAATGGAGGCGTAAAAATCTGCTTCCTTTAACCAAGCATAACTTGATCAATATCTTTTCCGAAAGGCTTCTCGAGAGGTCTCAGGACAACTTTTTATTTGTGTATGTACAGTTCTTTCTAAGACCTAGTATATTCACTTTTCTACTGCTGCTACTGTATACCACTGTAAAAACCCTACTGCTATTGACTGTTAGTGTAGTGTAATGTAGTGTGTTCTACTCCCTAAGCACGTGTCTGTGTATTTGCTAAATATTAGTGTATGTGTATGTGGGAAAACATCAGTGCTGCAATGACATAAAACAGGATGTAAAGGGATGTCAAAAGTCACCGGAAAATAAGAATCACTAAGTGTCAAAAAACGGGATTTGGCATCTTAGTTGAAAGTTTAAGAGGGGGAACTGTCTCTCCCACTTCCAACATCAACTTTTTTCACTCACAGACGGAGAAAGACCACTTAAATATATTTCTGAAAAAAATAGAGGGTTCCTTGAGAAGCCTGCCGTGATGCCCAATCAAGCAAACACGCTTCACGCAAATCCCGCCACTTCCCTGCAGCCTCGGGCAGCTTCAGGCCACGCTAGGTGTAAATGCCCTCCGGGACAGAGGGGGGCGCTATGAAGTAAAGAGTGCTGATAGGCAGACCAGCAACAAAGCCAGTAGTGGACTTGTTGACTGCAGGTGTGGCGCAGCATTTGTTTCGTCACTGCGGGAAGGCTCAGCCGGTTCATGGCTGGTATCGTCTAAAGGATAAGAAAAAGAAAGGAATTGTTACTGCTGGTACAAACTGCTCTTTTGCAACAGTGCAAAAAGATAAGATTGTGCAATTCATTTAGAATCATATATTTAAGGTTCTATTGTGGCGTACAAGGCCGTGCGCTATATTTCAAAATGAAAAGCAATGGTGGAGACATCCGTGCATTACTGAGATGTTTGGGCTCATGTTCATTGAGTTCATAGAGTTGGAAAGGTGAAGTCTGAGTTGCCATATGAACTTTTGGGTTGCTATGTCATGCTTTGAATCTTGTCCGGAACATTTTTAATTCAACTCCCAGGTGAAGTGCCTCTTGTGTGGCAGTGGCATCATGGGAAAGTAGCTGAACCATGCACAGCAAAGGACAGCTAACAGAATAGAGGACTGGGCCGTTACATAACTATAAAAGTGTGTGTGTGTGTGTGGGGGGTAGGGTGTGGAGGGACATTGCAACAGTAGATGACGGATGAATGTTTTAATTTCCCTCCTTTGGAGAGCGTAATAGGGGAGTGAGCCAGAGGAATCATGCAAGGTGAGAGGCAGCCATCAGAGATGCCGGCAGGAGAGCAAGGCAGGCAAATAGGCAGATAGAAAACCAGGCAGGAGGAGAGGCAGATGGGCACCGCAAATGTCCTAGGATCTGGCCTTGTTTGTGTGTGTGTGTCCCAATTAAATGTCAGTTTATGATAAACTGTGATCTTCACAGTGAACAATTTCAAAGTGTAATAGAGCAAACTTTCCAAATTAATAATATCTATAAACATCTTATTTAAAGGGCCTGTATTTAACATGTTGATTTGTTTTGTTCCAGATCTTAGAGTGAGCTGCCGATGGGAATGACACATCGGCATGTGGGTGATGTGGAGTGTTTCAGGACAGCGACTGGGTTGGACTCGTGTATGAAGACGTATGAATGCTGCACAGAATATAATCAATGCTGTGCTACAGAGCCAAACAGCAACTCAGTGAGGAGTGAAACAGAAAATTCAAAATTGCCACATACATATGGCGTTTTTTATATATGATTTAATTAGCACTCAGGTGACTAATGTATTAGTGCAGAATAATTCTAGTAAAAAAAAAATCTGACTGATGTTATGGAGCACAACATGCAGCTGGAAATGAAAAGGTTTGAAATACAGTGTGTGAATGCGAGACATGAACATCTGTGAGACCATCACATGTACTGTAAACCGACACATCCATGAATGTGATTTATATATATATATATATATATATATATATATATATATATATATATAT